AAATCTGGAATTCAAAAGAGTCTGTAAGTTTGTGAATGAAAAGGCAGATTTGGAGGAGTAAAGCAGGCCCAGTGTGAGTTTTAATCCCATTTAGGCAGCAGCTAAAATGATTTGTTCCACCAAAGAGAAGAGAATTAAATGTTGAGGTGTCTCTTGGAACATGGCAGTGGTGATGGGACAAACAGTACGTCTTAGCTGGTCCTCACTGATTGATTGAAGTCAAAGACACTAATTTAAAAGTCTAATTTATCCCCACGAGGAAAGTCACACATGGGATGCTATTTGCCCATCACCTTCTGGCTAACTACAGATGTATAACCAACCTTTATCTGACCAACCCATGTGAGATTGTGATTTGTGAATTCATGTTTTCTTAAATAAATATACAATGAACAATTTATCAGTTTTTTGTTATTAATGTATATCTGTGATTACAGTGTAAATATGTCAGTATTGCAAAAATGCCATAACACATAAGAATCACTAGAAATAAAACTGCAGGAATCAGAAACAAACTGAAATTGCAAATTGAACTGTCACAATTAAATAAACGACAGTCTTTATAAATTGCCAAGTACCACAATTTCCTCTTCAGGACAATAACATATCCTATTGTATTATTATGTAATAGTATAATAATAATAATAATAATGTTAATGAAATGTTCTGCTGGATTTGTTCAAAATGTGAGCCAAATCCTACTATTAAAACATAAATTACAACTCTAAATGACAACAAATAGCTACTAGATATTTTTCCAATGTTGTTTTTGTAAATAATCAATTCAGATTGTACATTCATTTAATTTGATAACTTCCTAATGATGATCATAACAATAATTGATAAGCCGAAAGAACAACTAATATGTTTTTTTTTTTATAATTCATCATGCTGTGACTTTGCAACACGTGAAACCCTGGGATGTGATCAAAGGTCGTGTCTGGTTCTATAGGAAGTTGTAATTACTGGGAGTTAAACACTCACTTCCGACCAGTGTTTTTGGTGAGAGCAGTCCCAGGTCAAAAGTCAGAGGCTATGACAACAGGAGCACAGTAGAGGGCCAGAAACAGCACAGTGTATTGTGACAGGCAGGACCACGGGGCAAGTATGGGACTCATCCTGGTGCACAATAGAGCCACATTCCAGTTGAAACATTGTGGCATTATAGATACTCACTTCCACCAAAACAAAAGGATTACCTCTCAGGACCCTCTGGGAACATGACTCTTGGGAATGTTCATAAACCATATACTAATTCTGTGCGCTGTTGATCAGCTTCTCCTGTCACCAGCAGGGGGCATGACACCATTCAATATAACTTTCACACCAAATATTGTATGCTGTGCTGGCAGTGTCACAATTTCTAAATTTCAGCACATATTCCACTACTTTGACTTGATACATGATATCAGTTTCTATGTCACAATAATTAAAAAGCCCTCTTTGTTAGACAATATAATCTTCAACATTAAATGATAGTAGTAATAGCAGTTATCACGTGGTCCTAAAAGATGATAAAAAACTATTCATGAAAGGTCAAATTTTTCTCATCTATGAGATTCTTTTCATTATCCATACTCGTTCAAAGGTCTAGTTTGAATTTTTTTTTTTAGTATTAATTACTATCTGGATATCAACAAAAACAATAAGTGTTCTCAAAAGTAAAACTATATGACCATAATACCATTACACTTGCAAAATGTATTCCCTCTTGTGGTAGTTTTCAAAGGGTGTTGCTCTGTGACCTAAAAAACTAAACAATACACAAAAAAGCCAGATTTTCAAAGTTATTCTGTTCTAATTCCTTGGGGGAAACTGGATAGACTGACACCTGTCTTGCCCACATCACAGTAGCAGGTTTAGTCACAGAGAGCCACACAAAGGCATACAATAAATATTCTTTAGGAATACTTTGTTCTGTCGAGATATATTAAAATGTACAATATAAAGCACATTTAGGGACAACTTTTATGGGCTTTACAATCGCGATTAGATTTGCAATTTATCTTTTAACAGCAGACTTCAATAAACAAGTCCACATTTTAGAAAAATATGAACTGTTCAACCAATTTCCTGCATTTCAAACATATTTGTGGCCTGTTAGTCGTTAATGGAATTACTTGAATAACTGCAGTCTTTGTGAATTGCCAATTGTGAAAATTCACATTTCAATTTGAATTTGTTTGACACATATCTTGCAGTCCTTTTATCATACTTTTAACACTAGCACATTGTCAGACTTCTGTGTGGTCAGAGAAACTCAGCTCTTCCTGTGACTGCTCATTTAAATGAGTTTGATAATAGGTCTTGAATGCTCTGTGTGCACATGGGCAAATATTGACCGTGTTTCATTATTATACACAACAGGAACAATCACAGTTTGTCCAGTGTCCATCCAAGCATAGGAGGCAGATGTCACCCAATATGTAAAAGAGCCACAACACTGAACAACAATGAGCCAGTCGTACCAACAAGTAACATCTCTGACAAATGTCCAAGGGTGACACTGATGTGTAATTAGTACTGGGAGAATGCAGAAGTTTCTCTTTATAGTCATTCAAATCATAATCTTGCATTTGTTTTTGCAAAGTACAAAATACATCTTCTCCACAGGGAATTGTCTTATGTACAAAACTTGTGAACTCTATAATTTAGCTCTATAAAACACACACATCATTAGTTCACGTTTTTGTCATTTAAACATCACAAAGAGGTTGAGACCAAACTTTGTTGTCAAAACAATTGAAATGTCTGGGCATATGCCAAACACTAATCGTTTGTTTCCACTAGTCTTGCACTTTCAGAAATTTCAACTGAAACCAGATCATTAACTTTTAAATTAACAAAGTAAAACCAACAAAAAACATTCGTCAATGCTGTAAAGCCTTCTAAAGGTGATTTTATTGCTTTATGTTCTACAGTATGACATTCAACTAATTTAAATCCATGGATACAAGCAGGTGACACCTCAAAGCAAAGTTACAGGTCAAATTAATTTGTAGAGGCAACTCCCCTCACAACTGTAGGGCCTTACTGAATTGATTTAAGATGCATAATTTTAATGCCATACTGTGGAATATTATCAACAAATCAAAAAGCATATCCTCCACCTGAAAAGTTACAATATACACCTTTAAACTGATACAAACAGAGGGACTTTCTGATATTTGTTTAAACAAAACACTTGAAAAACATGTAAAACTGGATTATTTCAAAACAATTAAACACTCAACACTTCAGTAGGTATACCCATTAAACCCTGTGCTGTACCAGCACGACCTGCAGTTCACGCTGCAGCTCACACGCCCTGGTCAGCTGCATGTGGACAGCGTTGCCATGGCACCCTGCCCCTCACTTTGTGGAAAATGAAACCTGAGAGGAGACCGGGCCATTGTCAAGTTGACTCCTGCACATCTTTAAACAGAAGCACAGTGGACATCAGTAACCACCACACTGACAGCAAAGGGCAGCACTACAGAGCACAGCACGGGACAGTCACAAAGTGCACTAAATTAACATGGCTGCATAGTTCAACTGTTGTCCAGCAATTCAGAGATGAAACTGTCATATAAGGACTTTGCTTAGGAGGGAAGGTAAAAGGTAATATAATTTAATCAGGCACTTGAATATTGTACAGTTCCATTTATCAAACTCAATCCATATATTTATCCGGGTGAAGTAGTTCTCTCCATGGAATTAATTCAAACCAAGTACAAAAACAATTTGTATTTGTGTTTTAGAGAAGTAAAGCGTAAAATGCTGCAAAACTTAAAATTTAAAAGAAGTCAGTCTGGACTATACTATCAGGTTAGCATTTATTATATGCCATAATAAGATTCAATTACATATTATTACCTAAATAACTGATGCCTCAGATTTACCAATTGCGACCCAAATTGGTAATCTTACAGCTCTAGTATCAAGTAGAGACAAACTTCAGTCATTTCATGAACATGTGGCACACAGACCACAGGCCACTGGTGGTGAAATGCTTAAAGCAGAGCTGATAGCATCAGTGGTGTCACTGGGGAGTCAATCCCACTGTAAACACAGACTGGTCGACCACAGAGAGGAAATCGTTTATGGCAGTAATGTCACAGTTTGACCAGAAACGCCCCAAACTTCTGCACAAGACTTTGATGCACCAAATCAAAGACGTGTTACCACAGTTAGTTATGATTAGAGGCTTGGCTGTAAAACACATGTGGACCACCACCCACTGCCCTGGATTTTAAGAATAAAATGAGACAAAAGGAGCTTGGGAAATTCAGGGAATACTATGGTTGATATTGAGGACTTTGTTAATAAATAAGTGATTATAATGTATGTTTTCTAGTCTAAAAAACAAATTATGCTTTTGTTATTTTATTTAGTTGTGCATATGACCGAAAAGATTTTATTCTGCACTCTTCTCTTTTAAAAGAAAATATTATGATGCTTTATGTTTTATTAAAATCACTTTGTACAACCCTGCCTTAACATGTGGGTTAGAGGGAAGATTATTAACTACAATTTAATTCAATTTTAATTCATCAGTTCAATAAAATAATACCAAGACATTCTTAACAAATGGGCATCATCCAGCAGTCATAATTGAGAAGCATTGTGGGTAAAAGTCTTCAAAAGCCACTGAAAACTAAAGGCAGATCAGGTGTTGCATCTGTCCATACAAATGAAACCTGATTCACTTGTGACCACTAAAGACACAACAAACTTGGACCTCCACCACAAACTGAGGTATTTGAACAAGCAGCAATCTAAACGACACATTGAGAAACTTATGTTAAGAAAAAGATGCCCCAGACTTCTGCATGTGTGATCCAAGCAATTAGTGCACTTCCCCTTGTTCTTTGGAAGCATGTGATTACATTGGAATGAGCATTTTACATTCGCCACCAGTAGCAGGTCAAATAAAACAAATTTTACTGTGTAGCAGCATAAACATCAATATATTTACTGACTAATAATGTTGTCTATGATAAAAGTCAACACTAACTCACCTTAGTATAGTTTGATAAGTCTCCAAGTTCTTTAGCAATAGCATTTCCCACAAGTGCAGCTCGCAGTTAGTGCACAGACAGGATCCCAGAGCAGTGAGGGATTAGCACCGAGACGTCAGCCGCCACCGTCTCACATGCAGAGCTCCAGCCAATCAGAGTGGCTGGAGCTCCCCCCCCACACACACACACACAGATACACACACATACACAAGCACGCACAGAGTAACCTGACAATGGCCGGTGAGGGAGGCAGTAACGAGAGACTCCTGTGGGCTGTAAACAGGCATCCCCAGCTGGACATTGCTCTTGTTGTGTGGACCTTTTGAAGTTGGGGGCAAATGATGTTAAATAGTTGACAAATATCAGAATCTGAATGCCTTTAGAGTCATTCCACAAACTGCACAATGCAGTTTAAAATGCTGCTTCATGGTTCTCAGTTATTCGCACACACATACAGGACAGAAAATTAGTAAGACAGATAAACAGATTAGAAATATACAGTATGTCGCAACAAAGTTTATTTTTCTGATGGATATCTACAGGGTTAGACAGAGACTAAAAGTGTATCAATATTTCATTACATATATAGATTTAAAAAATTTCCCTCAAGTCAATTATCCACTCCATTAGGAAAATGAACAGTCAGTTGAGACTAAAACCAGTTTTTGCAGTAAACGGCTTACATGATATGACGTGTCAATGTCCTCTTACCATAACAGACTATGACATCTCAGGTTTTGTTTATATTGTCTAAAACAAGTAGTTATCATTCATTCTCCATATTTTAATCTGGATGTATACACCAAATTAATTCAAGTATAACTGAAGAATATTTTACAAAAATACAATATAGCTTTTCTTGCAAACCTTCTGCAAAAACTTTTGAATAATAACTCCAGAACGTGTTTGTGCAAAGAATACCACAAAAAACACACGCCCAAACAACCACTCATCGGTTCAGAAGTTCAGTGGTCACAAACTGGTGTTGATCTTGGACCAAAGAAAACTATCTTTCTACTGCACATATACTACGCAGTGTTTCCCACAAGGTCCATGTGTCCAGTGCCCAGGACACATGTTTTAACACACAGAACCTGCATATTTAGTTCTTCTCTCAAACAGAAAATACTTGGACCTTGTGATGTCATGTGGTAAAAAAAAGTAATGCTCCACTGTGGTTTTAATATGCATACACATTCACGAGAATCATTTGAAGAATTTCCAATCTCAACTGAACTAAGAAAGGGAGCTGTTACTGCTTTATGACATTACTAGTTGGAACAGAGCATTCTGAGCTTTGGGACGCAGACATTCCAATAATAAAGGTTACTCAAACATGTGTGAATGAAACAAAGCACAACTCCAGGTATGATTTTGAGGAAGTAACAACATTCTAATATGACTTAAAGCTCAGAAGAGTCAGTTTTGTGTAATACATAACATTTAAATATAGTTATTTCTGTGTGACAACATACAAAAGGTATATTTTGTTTAGCTTGTTATTAGACTATGGAGGAAAAAGACACTATGGGGGCACCATATAAGAAAGACTGACAATATCCTCTGCAAGAGTATAAAAAAAAATAAAAAAATAAATCAGTCTTCATGACTTAACTCTCTAGTTTAAAGTCCTAGGGCGCAAGTGATTGTAGTTAATATTTCAGTATCCTTTTCAGACTCTGGGCAACGTTTAATTAACTGAAAACTAAATCTTGGTTTTAAAATGTAGCAGTAAAATATGTCACATTGTATTAACATCAAATCTTCCAACTTGGTAACATATTTGACTGTATGCCAGAAGAATCATGTCCAAAACTTCCAAACAGAAGACCCTCTGCGTGTTGGGGAATGCCACAGTGAGCCTGGCTCAGTCTGAGCATGTCTGCATACGTCTGCATGTGTCTGCATAGTTGTGGATTATCACTCTATCAGTTTGTGTGTGGATTCTCCTCGCACCTGCCTTACTCTGCTTAGACACACCAAACAACAAGGGGTTTCACTGCTGTTTTTCTAACTTCTTACCTCTTTTCATTCACAACTTCTTCGAGAGGCTAATGACAGGCTGTCTCTAACAAGCACTTCCTCCCTGCACTTACGGGAATGGCACAGGTTACAGTTTGACAGCTTAGGTTGGTTGTTAAACAAAGCCCTTTACTGTAACTGGTGGAATATAATAAGCAAGTGTTTCTATAAAAACTGAAATACAATCCCACCTGAACCTGGGTGCCATTAGCGGTCAGATATTGAGGGCACATGATATAGACACTCTTTGGAGTAAACTGGCATCTGGGCAACAAAAAATGAGGAGTTCATTCTACTTTCTGATTATAGTGATCTTGAGAAACAAACTACAAACTGTAACAAATTGTGTTTTATGCGTGTATACAAATGCCAACATTATTGTCATCAGTAAAATCAATATTTAATTCAAACTTGTTAGGACAGATTAGAAGAGCTGCAAAGATTTAAACTGAATAATCTCTAAATAAACTCTAAAACATGCACCAAAAGACTTTCTATAACAAAGACAGCAGCATTATTAAATTAAACATTTTAGTTATTTGTAATTTTAATTAATTATAAACAAACTCCACCTTTCTCCATCTAGACGCTTGTTTTGTTTTCATCTCGTTAAGTTGCTCCTAGCTGACTGATCAAAAAAAAGGTGACTAGTCGACTACTAAAATTATTGTTGATGTAGCTCTACTGATAGCAGTTATGTTTTAGAAAGAAGAAAAACCCTATTCTTTTATATTTCATAAACTCAAGTATTGAGGGGGACTGCATGAAGGGAAGGATTAACATACCAGGAGACAAAACATCCATGCACAGCACTTAAGGTTTAGCCCTGGTTAATCCTACTTCATCACAGAATACCCTCATTCATAGATTCATTCACCTCATTCACTTTTGTCATGACAATCGACCAAAATTGCACAAGTTGAAGCATGTTGCTGAAACAACTATTCTCCAACTTAACAAGGAAATTGTCATATGACATGAATATATGCATACATTAAAGCAAAAATATGCAAGTGCATCGGATCATCTTGTTTTTTAGGCCAGAAAACAAAGGACACAATCAGAAAACAGCAGTTTCATTTCAAAACATTTAGATCAATGAACACTCTCAAAGACCAATATTATAACATTCAATCAACAATAAAATTTCTTTGAGAAAAACAACAGTGGACAGACAGTTTTCAATGACAACAAGCGATGACAAACATTCAAATGATTTTGTTTAATATGTGATCTAAACAGACAAATTATTTTACTATATTGCATGTTGTAGGAATAGCAAGTTAAAGAAGATATTTTTTACCTAAATCTTTCTCACAAAGCTCTGAAAAGCCTTTCATTAATTCTGTCATTCAAATGTCAAACAAACAATTCCCATAAATTCCACAAATTGTGTTTAGAGACATTGAACAAACTGAAATGTCACTCATCTGTTTCCTGAACCATCTCTTAGCTGTGATGGTTTCTGCGGAGGACCTCTAACTGTTAAAGTTCAGTGGCTCAAAGTGGTTTTTCATCTGATAATGACAGGACCGTCTCTGCCTCTTCTCCCAGTGTTCACCCCACACTCTGAGAAATGTGCAGCTGTAATAACTCCTTTCACCTCCACACACAGACACTGCTGTAATAATCCCACAATGAATGAAAGAGCTCGTCCTTTCCCAAAGCCGCCAAGGAAGACATATATTTAGCTCTCACATGCACAAAAGGCACACATAGTTCCCAGTGTGTGTACAGATGTTCAACCAAAATCTAAAATTACAACAAAGTGCCAACTTTGCATAAAATTACAGAGATGCAAGAGGACAGGCTCCACACTAACCTTGCACTGCAAGCTGAACTGTTGCAAGCTTTGACTTGTGTCCGGTTCAGTTTTGGTGCATAGCAGAAAGTGTCTTAACAAAACACTTTTACAAGGCACCAAGAATTAAAAACGGTAGGCCTGATGCCACTATATATATATATTTTTTTATATCCAAGCACTTAAATCACTTCAATCTCTCAACCCCTCCTCTTCCCGAATGATCTTGACCAGAGCCACTCCAGACTGATAAAGGGTAGAACTCAATCTGCTATTAGCTCCACGCAGATCTGTTATGCAAAAACGCAATAAAAAAAACCTCAACACTGAACTTTGTGCCAGTTTTGTTTTTAATGTGGATGGACTGGTCAGTAATTTCAACAAAAGAATTCTTCTGACTTGCCCCCCGCGTCAATGGTAAACCAGGCACTTAAGAATTTAATTACGCAGCCTATGAGACACTTTTCTAAAATCATTCAGCCTTAGTGTGAAGCCGCTAAAAAGGCCAGGCAGCTGATGTGATGTGCACAGACAGTCCGCTGGAGTGGAAGTCATTTTCACTAAACAAACAGTGGAGAAGGCATGGGGCACCAGCAGCAGCTTTGATCATGTGGACAGAGGGGTCGTCTCACCAAGGTGTAAACTGAGAGCGGCCTGCCATATGTCTGTGGATGTGCTGATGAAGAGAAACAGCTCTAAGCCTCATGTACCAACCAAAGCCACAATACTGTGCTCTCACCGATCTACTGAGCACTGAGCAGGACAATGTGAGTCACTGTGGTATGTGGTAGGGCAGGTAATATGGCCAAAAAATGCATCATGATATAAGAGAGAAATTGTGCTAATGGTTGTGGTAACTATAATTGGCCTAAGTAATTCCCATTAATAGAAATGCTTGTGATGCCCCATATTCTAAAAAGAACATGGACTAGACACTGGCATTAAAAAAAGAAAATCTCACTTTTTTGTTGTTGTCCTGTTCAAAAATGTTTTTATATAAAAAATATATTAAATTTTTTAACAAAAAACATATTTGTGCAGCTATAGTCTAAACACAATCTATTGAAAACAATATGGTAGCTTATAATAATTCAGTGTGTTTGTTGTGGGCTGTAAGTTATTAGAAGTTCTGCTTCCACCCCTGATGTATTACACCCCATTTCTTTCATTAGTTTTAGTGTATGTCACGTCTCAGTCTGCCTTGCCCTCACAACTGAGAGCTACAGTGCATACAAAATCATCACAATATTACAAATT